AGCTAACGCAAACACTTCGTATACTGGTACTTAGCATATGAACCCTCCACTGATTGCAGGACCTCTGCTTTCATTGGCTCCTCCGTACAATGCTACAAAAACATTCAGACTAAACCCCAACATACAGTATAAATAAAGATGGACGATGTAGACAAAGAGTGGCTATGGATACAGATTTCAAAGTTGAAAAGTCTTAAAAAGTCAGCTGAATGGAAAGAATAAGGTCAGAGCCATCAATAAATATGCCCTGCCAGTCATCAGATACCCAGCTGATGTAATAACCTGGCCAAAGGAGGAGATAGAGGCCACTGATATCAAGACAAGGAAGCTCCTCACTATGCATTGAAGTCTAGCACCCTGAGGTTGTACACTGAGGAGGGAAGCCAAGGACTAGTGAGCGTCAAAGCCACTATCCAGGATGAGACAATACAAATCCAGGACTACATCAGGAATATGGCCCCAAGTGATGAGACATGATGATGATGATGAGGAGGAGAAGGAAGAAGAACCATCATGGAAGGACAAGTCCCTGCACAGCATATATCACTGACAAATAGAGGAAGTGGCTAATATCAAGATATCCTACCAGTGGTTGGAATAGACTGGTCTGACAGACAGTACAGATGCACTAATCATGGCAGCACAAGATCAGGCCCTAAGCACAAGAGCCATAGAGGCCAGGGTCTACCACAGTAGACAAGACCCAAGGTGCAGGATTTGCAAAGAAGCCCCTGAGACCGTCCAGCTCATAGTAGCAGGGTGTAAGATACAGGCTGGGAAAGCACACACTGAGAGGCATAACCAAGTGGCTGGAATAGTGTACAAAAATATTTGTACTGAGTATGGATTAGAGGTACCCAAGTCCTGATTGGACATACCATAGAAGGTGGTTGAAGAACAAAAGAGCTAAGATCTTGTGGGACTTCAGATTCCAGACTGACAAACAGCTGCTGGCTAACCAACCGGATATGGTGGTGGTGGACAAAGAACAAAAATGGCATGAGATGTGACAATCCCAGTTGACAGTAACATCAGGAAAAAGGAGCATGAGAAGATCGAGAAGTAGAAAGGGCTGAAAGAACAGCTAGAACAAATGTGGAAGGTGAAATGCAATGTGATCCCTGTGATAGTAGGAGCGTTAGGGGCTGGGAAAGTGGCTCCAGCAGACCCCAGGTACAACATCTGAAGCCAGAAAAGCACAGTAGGAACAGCTAAAATACTGAGCAGAACACTGACACTCCCAAGCCTCTGGTAGAGGACCTGAGCTTGACAAAGACATACCATCCAATGGCCCATGTATGGGGTGCAAAACCTATTTTTTATATAGATCCAGTATACTGTAGATCTGGTTTCCTCTACAGCTATACATGCCCAGCATCTCAGTGGACCTCCCTCTGCCTCCCTCTCAGCTGTGGTCCCATGCCCAGGCCGGCACGGCTGTGATCCCAGTCCTATAGGAGAATAAGGAGATAGTTCATGGTGGAGCTGAAGTCATCGGACAAGCATCCGTCAGAACAGCCACCAAAACAATACACCCCACTGTCCTGCTAACACAAGGTTGGTTTTGGACAAGAGGCCGGAGAGCACTGAGATGGACCGGCAGCAGCTATGGAACTGACAGCTACAGTTTGACCTCGTCTTGTACTGTAACACCCAACACACACCGAAAGTGAGAGTGAACCAGTTGGATGATTGTTGGAGTGTCTCCACTGATCCGTTTAACATACCCACTGAGAACCGTGTTGTTCTGAATCAATAAACCCAGATCTCTGCAAACAGAAACCCCAGTTTCTCTGTAAATACCACACACTAACACACACATATTTCAGAACTCTGAGCAAGGGTTTGCAGAGATAAGTGAAAGTCTGATCTTGATACTTGCACCCAAAGTGTTGGACAAAGAGGATTTTCCTTTGGATGTGCCGCCACTGGGCAGAGGAGCAGAGAGACCGGGGTCATGTCAGTCCTCCATCGCCCGCTGTTTTATTCTCGTCTCCCCAGAGTCACAGCCACAGTTAATCTCAGCTCTCTGCCCCGCTGTGCCCGACCCCAACCTGCCACCTCCGTCTCCATGCCCGCCATATCACCATGGCAACAAGGACCAGCCGTGTGGCACACATGTAATATGCACACACAGCACTTTGGGTGTTTAAAAAAGAAACAGAAAAAGGTTCTGACTTGTTGTGAAAATGTTTTGTGTTGGTATAACAGTCAGAGACGGCTGTACCAATCACTGACTGGACCTCCGTTGTCTACTGTACTCTCTAATTCTGCCCCCCCCCCCCCATCTCTCTCTCTTCTCCCACTCTCTTCTGGAGAAACAATGGTCAAATCCATAGGCCACACATACACAGAAAAACAAAGTGGCCTGTGTGTGTGTCTCTCCCTCTCTCCATTGAACAAGCGTAAGAAGATACAAAGAAAGCACTGACAGTACACCGCACACACACACACACACACACACACACACAAACACACACACACACATACACACACTGCAGAAAAGCAGAGGGGTCCTGTTCATGCATTCTGTGGTGTAGGAGGTCATGATTTGGTTTATGCATTAAATTGTCAATCTCCCTTTCACATTAATCATGCAAGCTCAGTCACAACTAAAATATATGAGTGCGACTTGTGTCGGTTGATGAGTGGGTGTCAGGCGTAGATTTGAATTGCACACGTTTCAGAAGAAAAGGTTGTGGGTCAACTCTGACTGCAGTGTTTGAACAGAGTTGAAGGAATGTTTCACTAAACATTTGACTCACACACATACAGTCTGTGCATAGGCTTCATACGATGGGAAGCAGTGGAGCGGTCACACATCTCCTCTATCCTGCGCTCTGAATGAGTCAAACGTTAGAATTTTGCACTTATAACTTGGGCTTCCCCAATTGCGACTCTGTGTCTCTGTGTGTGCGTGTTTGTACTTATACTATATTTGTGAGCATGGAACTCACGGAGTGAGGACATTTTTGGAAAGTGAGGACATTTTGACCAGTCCTCACTTTTTCAAAGGCTTGTTTGAGGGCTTTTAAGGTTGGGATTAGAATTGGGTTTATGTTAGGGTTAGGGTAAGGTTAAGGGGCTGGCAAATTCATTATGTCAATCAGTGTCCTCATTAAGACAGAAGTAGAAGAATGTGTGTGTGTGTCCAGATGGCCTCTCTGTGCTGGCATGACTTCATCCACATGCTAAACCTACACAGACATCACATCACATATCCCAGAGTCAGAGCTGCCTACACACTGCGCACCACAGAAGCTCAGCAGATGGAACTGATATTCACAGAGGGACCATGCACTGTATTCTCACGATAAACAGAAAGATTAGCATGTGGCTCCTGCATGTGAAAATTATTGTCAGATAGATTACACTGAACAGGTCATATGTACTCTTTCAATTTCTAAAAGAAATGGCAATTATGATTGAAGCTTTTTGCACATTCCATTAGTGCCAGTGGTTCAAAGCTGAGACACCCAAGGGGCCAGAATATAAATTCAAGGATGAGGTCATAATATACAGCCCAAAAGATCAATTGATTTCTTCAATATTACTGCTCTAGATGTAAAAAGAAAATGACTCCTCTAAATTCACGTCTGTAACAGGTGAGCCCACAGATTCAATGGTACAAATTCAACCAACAGGCTTACTTATGTTTGTTGCTTGGCTGTCTACAGTGTAGTCAGGATTATCTGCTCAGAAAGGCTTTGCTTGGAAGCCTCCTCCATTTTCTTAACATTAGCTAACATGAGGCAAACCACATCAGACCATTGCCTCTAGACTAAAATTTGAAATTGAAAAAGGTCAATACAGTCTGAATAAGAATTTTTCTCTCCACCTTTGAATGAATGTACAAATTTTAAATAAAAAGTGACTTACACGCAAATAAAGTTGGATTCAACTGATCTACTGTTGATTAATATAACATCCTTTTCACCCACCCAAAAGGAATAGTTTAAGATTTTGGGTCTCTGAGAGAGAGTTTGACGAGAAGATCAATACCACGCTCATGTCTCAACAAGTATGAAGCTAAAGCCAGCAAACAATTAGTGTAGCTTAGCACAAAGACTTGACAGTGGAGCTTTCACTGTGAACATACTGAGTACTGTTTACCTTCATCTTTAAATAAATGCTTCCAAAAATGTTGAACTATCTCTTCAACAAGACAGAAGTTCTTTATAAATAAACCCATTGTACATATACATACCTGTGTGTGTGTGTGTGTGTGAGAGAGTATTTACACATACACAGAGTAAGAATCCCTCCATCCATATATTATCTATGCCGCTTACTCTCTGAGGGTCATGGGACATCCATAATTGTAAAGTAAATAACTATTTGTAAATAATTATCCTTCACCAGCCTTGCTTAAAGAGTAGCAGTGAAACGAGCTGACACTCAACTCAAAGTTTGAGGTATGTGAGAAACTATGAGCACTTGGGCTTTAAAGGTACAGTGTGTAGAATTTTGTGATACCTAGTGTTGAAGTTTCATGTTGCAGCTGAAGACCCGTCAGCTCACCCTCTCCTTCCAAACATGAAGAAGAACCTGTGGTAGCTTCAGTTGTCATAAAAACTCAAAAGGTGTTTAGTTTGTCCAGTCTGGACTAATGTAAAAAACATGGCGGCCTCCATAGAGAGGGTCTCCTCGATGTAAGTATAAAGTATTTAAATATAAAGGGCCTTTTCTGGGGTAAAGAAAACTACAATTCATACAATTTAGATGAAACGAACTAGTGAAAACATCATGAGGATTATTCTACATTAAATTTCTGCCAATAGATCCCTTTCACCTAAATCTTACACACTGGACCTTTAAATGTTTCCATTTTAAAATCACAGGATTTCCTAAAGTTCACACCCTGAGTGTTTCTATCAGAGGTGGACCTGTGATGGTTTGTTAACTGAGCAGTGAGTTAATCAGTAATGCTTCTACACTGCCACCCAGTGTCAAGCTCAGAGCATCGCAGGATATTTTTACTTCATAAAAACTCGCCACAATTTAGAAACATCACTTTAATTTTGTTTGATTCACACAGTTGATTTGGGTTTGCTCAGCTCATATCAACCTCTTCCTGTTTCTCCAAGCTGTGGTTGGTTTCATAAAAGAAAATAAAGAGGATTCAGGTTGAAAACTGAGATGACCCGTCCCATCTGTAGAGAGAAAAAACTTTGGATGACAAACAAAGAAGGTCACATTAATTTGGGCACTTTTGAAGATTGTCAGCAAGAATATAAAAATACTCAAGTAATGATCCGAGTGACACCTGCAGTGGAACAGCAGCGTAACAGTTCATTTAAAGGCCGGTAACATTTTAGTAAGACCCACAGAGAAGACCTTAAAAACAGACATCACATTAACAGTCACAGGTGCTCTTACATCACAGCTCTTCCTTGCCGTTCTGAGAGTCCAAGGCCGACGTGCCGGCAGCTTTAGCTTTTTTGGAGTCCTTCTTGGCGACAACCTTTACCGTCTTTTTTGCAGCTGGTTTTGTGTCTTTTTTGTCGGACTGCTTGGTTTGTGTTTTAACCGTCTGTTTCCCATCTTTTTTGGCTGCAGCTTTGCCTTTGTCTGTCTTCTTGTCCTTCACCTGCTCTCCAGCTTTAGCCTTTGCTTTCGGAGCAGCTTTGGCGCCTGTTTTGCTGACTGGTTTCGTCTCTGGTTTGTCCTTCGGCGTGTCGGCTGGTTTCTCAGCCTGTGCCTCGTCCTTCTTCTCCGCTGGTTTTTCCTTCAGCGTGTCGGCTGGTTTGTCCTTCAGCATGTCGGCTGGTTTGTCCATCGGTGTGTCGGCTGGTTTCTCGGCCTGTGCCTCATCCTTCTGCTCCGCTGGTTTGTCGTCTTGTTTTCCATCTGCTGTCTCCTGGGAAGCCTGTGCAGGAGGAGGCTCTGGTGTTGCGGGTTGGGGCTCTGAGCTGTCTGTCATCTCCTTCCTGCTGAACTCGGCATTCAGAGGTGTGGAAAACATCTTCAGCAAATCCTGAGCTTGGATTCTCTCCTACAGAACCATTTGAAGAGAAACAGAACACAAAATAACCCAGTTATTAATCAAAATACCAGAACCAGAGGCAAACACAAAAGATCTAATCAGACTATTTATAACACCTTCAACCTTCTGCTGACAATCAAAAAATATTACCAGAAATTGTTTATTTTACAATTATAAGCCAAAACATTTCAGTGAAGCAACCATGACCCATTGTGTTTGTTAAGATCAAAGGTTAAGACCATCAAACTGTGCAAATACAAAAGACTGATTTAGTTTAGTTTAGTAATGTGTTACATTGTGAGGGATAAACGCTGGTTTGAGAATTTAACTCAAATGCAGCAGAGCAAGGAACAGGTTTTCCCAAAGTGCTGACACTTCTTGACAAGAGACAAGAGAGGAGGAGTGAGTTGACCTGATGGCAGCAGGGGAAAAATGGGTGGGTTTTTTAATTTGTTTTTCCATATTTTCTTTTTAAATGGCACACAACAGTCCATTGTGTCCTGCAACACTTTATTCTGATGATACGGTTTATAGACGCAGCAGCAGTCACGCTGTCAGATTGAATCCTACATTTCTGACACACTCAGGCTTTCTTTGGTCACAAAGCTCTAGACCAAGACACTGATCACTGTTGAGGAGTGACGGTCAACAATTCTGCAGCATTTCTCTCACTTTCAACCTCCAGCCCCAAATCACAGTGTAAATGGGCCTTCAGTTTAGCTACAGAGGCTACTTACAAAATTAAAACACTCTGGGACTGTATGGAACTTTTGAGGTTAGCAGTGAGTCAGAGGAGCCGAGGGTATTGTAACATTTCTCTTTGGTGACGCAAAGTTGCAATGCTGCAGTCCAGCCATGTGTTTTTTTGATTATGGCAGACAGTCATATCTGGTGTAATAATAAAGATGTTGCATCATTTGACCTAATGTGAACTGGGCCTGTGAGCTGATTATATTTTTTCCCAATATTCAATGCTATGTTTTTGCTAATTCCACTCCACATGTGCTCACTGGCAGAAAATGTGAAAATAATGTTACATTAAGATGTAAAGATTTAACGAGGGCATGTCTGCATGCTTTGCCACTTTTAGCTGTTAATGATAGACCAAATTGCACAAACAATTTTTGGAGAGGTTAAAAAACTTCAGCTTCAGATTTGAGTTCTTTATTACATCCCTGGTAAATTTGAATTGGAGTTCACTGAAAATAACAAACACATAGATCCCAATTTCTCACTTTAAAAGTATAGATGGATAGAGATATTGTGTATGCTGTTGGTAAAGAATTTAACTGCAAAGTGAACCCCCCCCCCCCAGTTATTATCCTGATGTTCGTCTGCAGAGAACGTTCGTACCTTTTCCTCGTGAGCAGGATCCAGGGTGAACCACAGCGCTACAGCACACCTCTGACCCTGCGTGACAGCTCTGACTCCGTGTGGGTTTTCTTTCCCTGCACCGAACGCAACCACACGTCCACACTGCGGGCGCACCTCAGCCTGGACATAAAGCCAATAAAACTTTAAATTTACAGCCTTTATTTACACATATTGTCATGTATTACAATGTAGTATTGAACACGGACTGTGGAAATAACAGGTGAATATTTACCGTGACAGTTTTGGCGTCCAGCTCAGTGAAAATGAAGTCTCCTCCTTCAAAGTCATGGTTTAAATAAAGAATGGCACTGCGGGGGGGGGACATGAGGATGTTATGTGGGTGCTCATCATCGGGGCTGTCACAGTGTGTTTGGGTGCATGTGCTCACCTGTAGTCCCTGTGTGTGTATGCAGGAGGCTCCTTTATACACTCGTTGATCTCAGACACCAGCAGACAGTTGTCCACATGAACAGGGTGACTCAGGTCCTCACGCTCCTCCTGCTTCTCTGAATAACAAGAGCACAGAGAAACAAGTGAGACATTTCAGGTCATACTCAAACAACTACCTTCGTCTGCACTAATTCGTATTTTCTACATTGACAATGAATCTAATGACTGTGTGTAATGTGAAATATGCTTACTGGCTTTGAACAAGACACACAGACAATTATCACCTGACTCCTCAGTTCTCGTCTGAGCTTTAAGGCACATTTCAGCTCTTTGTTTTAGTTTTAAAGCCAGAAGCATTCAGCTGCTAAAATACCAGATTATCTTCTCAGGGTTTGGTGCAAACTAATAACTTAAACATTATATACTGATGCTATATAAATGATATATGCTAGCAAGGAGGTGTTGTGTTTTTCAGAGACCGAAACCACAACGCAAACATCAACAGTCCTGCACTACAGGTGCAGCCTGTCGAGCACTGACCACTTTACTTTTACCAAAAAAAATCTAACATTTCACAGTATGCAAATCACCAACATGATACAGGATCTATATAGGAATTCTATTCTGTGAATTTAGGTCAAGCTGTATTTTTTGAAATATCACACAGTACACATATTACCGCCACATTCCAAAGAGTGTGCAATCATCATGATGAAAAAATGATAAAAGGTAAAGATAAGATAAAACTGTGGATATGGAGAATAATTTCTCCTCTAATATTCCATACAGGGCTCAGTATCTTGCCCAAGGACACTTCAGAATGCAGATAAGGTTCTAACACAATTAACCTGCTGTTCTCTGAGTCAATAGTCACATGTTTCTTGTTGCTAATCGTTCCCTCAGGTCTTCTTCTGAGGGCTTGCTAAATATCCCAAAAATGAACTACAAAAGGTTTGGGGAAGCAGTTTTCTGTTGCTATGCACCAAAGGTTTGGAACTCCTACCACACATCTGACGAGCTACTTCTGATGATAGTTTTAAGAAACAACTCATGACTTATTTCTATGATCTTGCGTTTAAATAATTGTATACTTTTTTTGGACACCATTGCCTTTATTTTCTACTTCTAGTTTTACCCATTTCCTGCTTTTATTAAATGTATTTGGGTGGGTGGTGCAGAATTAGGACATTTCTCATGTCGTGAGGAAAGATCTAACAGAAATGACTCATCATTTTAAGAATAACCACACAGAGCAGCAGCATACAGTGTTCTGACTGTCACACTCACCATTAATGGCAGAGCGACAGACCAAGTGGGAATAGGCGAAGTAGAGCGGAGTGTCAAGTTGGAAGTACGATTCCATCACCTTCCTCACCCTCTCGCTCAGGTCGAAGAAGAGACGAGCACTGTTCAGAGGAACCTTCCCCTCCTGTCCGAGCTGCGGGAAGCAAAGAGGGTTTTTAAATTTACCAACAGTGACGTGGAGAAAGTGTGTCTGGGTTGGTGTTTTTCAATGACGTCGGGTTATGTTTAATGCTTCAGCAGCAGCAGAGCTACCGACCTTGACGGCGTTCAGGACGGTGACTCCCTGAAACATCTCACTGGGGGAGTGGGGGGAGGTGTGCCCCCTGTAGCCATCACCTTTCAAAGCAGCAGCCTGGAAAATATTCAATATTCAACACTCATGGCATGATGCTTCAAAATAATGCAACAACTGACATTTAAAAATCATTTCCATAGGTTAAGAAAAGTCTACAATGGTTTTCTTTAACTGTGTGAATGATATTTCCTTAAAGGGCCATATTAAAAAATAAGGCTGATAAGAGCAGAGATGTTTGCAAAAAAAGAACAATGAGTTAAAAGAAGCTAAAATGCTCCACAGTGCTTCAGAGGTGACTCCTGTCACATTAAGCATCATTTAATTCAAAGTTTATATACAAATCCTGATCAGTGCATGGAAACAATTTCGGTTGATATCAATAATTATAATGATAAATCACAATTTCACAAGTTTAAAGACTGATGTTTGCTCCTGAGTGAAGGTTGTAGTTTTATACTTTTCTTTATCGACAGAGAATAACAAACACTTTAAAACATTTTACAAATCAGAGGTAGATCAATCGTATGATATACTGTACCTAAGTATACCTTTAAGTATTATATATACATATGATATTACAGGAAGTGGTTCACAGCTAAATAGACAATTAAACTTGTTTGAGTTTGAGTTTTGATGTTTATCTGTTGAATATGTCACAAACATTCATATTTACACTTCCTGTATTTATATGTATCTGTTTGATTGTTATCTGAAGATGGACCATAGAGTCCATTTAGTTGAGTACATAGACGTACTTTTATATAAGGAAATGCAGTAGTTACATCAGAAACCTCGTGTGGAAGCTCCACCCATGAAATGCAACAAATCAGCAAGCAGCCGACGCTGCACACACACCTAGTGTGGTCCAGGTGTAACAGTGCTCACTGCTAAATATTTAGTGTATTTCTAATATCATGATACAATGTCTTATATGTCTGCAGTGCTGCATGTTGGCCTGTCTGTCGTGTTACTATTTTGGTTGTTATAGGCTATAGCGACGTCATTCTAACAATAACTCACGTTGGAGAGGTGCTGCAGCTCCCTGCACTCATCTTCACTGATCACTCCATCCAGAAGCGCCCGCTGTGTGCCGTTCAGCTGCTGGGACGTCATGGTTATCTTGATGCTATCGGACAGCACAGCGCCATCTAGAGGAGGTAGGTCACAGTCAAGAGTCATGCATGGTAAAAACTTCTGCAGGGGAGTATTTCAAAATTCAGATGAAATTTGGTGGTTGACCTTCCTCCGGTGCAATAATCTTGGTCACATCCGAAGAATCCTTCTTCTTCTCCTCCACCAGAGTCTCAATCTCTTTCATCAGGTTTCCTATTTCCTCTGTGATCCTCGCCGCCGTCTCCCTGTCAGCCCTGCGACACACAAGGGGAGAGCCATGACATCACAATAACTGCAAAATTACAACTGACCCAGTGTTTGTTTCTTAAATCTTACTTTTGCTTGTCTCTCAGTTTCTTAGGCATGACATCTTCAGGTGTCCATGAGTCCTGAACACAGAGGGACAACAAAGTCACTGTATAATGTCCAATATCACACTTTAAATTTCAGCACAGCATGAAATAAGTGATGGACAATAAAACTGATAAACTCACTCACTGGATCTACAAAGGTAATCCCAAATGCTTCATATCCAAAGTAGAGCAGCTCTTTCTCCAGTAAGGACTTCTGAATGTACTGTTTCACCACCTGAGGACAAAAATCAATTGGACTGTGATTACATCTGTTGAAAACTAGCACCGAAACACCCCTGTATATAAATATGATATCACGTTGTCAAGGAAACCTCAGTTTATATTTAGTAAATGATGTATGCTGAGGTGGGTTGTCTGAGGTTGTTATCGTGTGATCAGAGGAATAAGCTTTAGGAGAAGCAATGGAGAGATGGGAGGAATCAACATGGTAAAGAAGAAACCTAACACGACACAAACGTGGCCTACATGTTAACATCAACACTAGGGACTTGCACCAGGAGGAACAGCACAAGTGTCACTGATATTATAAACAATGAATCTTTTCTGTTTGTGTGTCCTCAGTGACTTTATGTAAAGATAGACAATGCCTCTTCCTCCACATTTAACATAAGAGAAACCGAAATATTCTAAATAAGGAAGCTGCCATCTTGTTCTTAGCTGTCATTCCTTTACATTTAAATATCTGTGACACGTCAAAATATCATAAAATATCTTCCTTGGATATATACTCAAATATTTTGACAGTGAAAACAAGTTGAAACATTGTCTTAACCTCCACATTGTCAGGAGTTGAAGTATAAACTGAAAACTGAACCACGGTCAGGGGGCAATATTGATGAGATCACAACACACAAAGAACTTCGGACAATAATTCTATCGCTTATTATGCATAAAACCATAGCTTAACCTTGAATATAAATATACTCTATATTACTGCAGCGTATACATTTATTCTCAGTCACATTAGAATTTTGGTTGTTTGAAGTCTGGTTGTTTGGGAGTTGAGGTTCAACCTGCACATCATTTGTCATTGAATCTCCCTCCGGCTGTCTCCGTTCCAAATTATACTGTATAAATACAATAAAATATGGACACTCAGTGCCTGTAGGTGGTAAGAAATCTTAGTTATTGCTACTTAAAAAGGAGAAGCATACGTTTATGTGCTTTAGTTTCCCATCAGTGCTTTTTAATGTCTCTTCAGTGCCCTTGAGCACATTTGAGAGCTAATAGAGGCCATTATTCTTCCAGCACATGTTGTGTTGGGCTAATTAGCTGCTGATCAGTATGGATTAAGATTATATACACTCTTAGCACGCTGCTGTGGAGCAAAACCTCTGCTCCATATAATGTTGCATTAGAGGTACCGTACCTGTCTGGCTGATATGGTTTCTGCCTTGTCCTCGCCCAACACAACAGAGTAATACGCCAGGTTCTGGTTCATCACCACGTCGCTGGGGTGGAACAACAGGAAGGTCTTGGCACACTCTATGGCCTTCTCATACTTCTCACCTGGAGACAGGAGCAGGAGTTACTCTACAGAGGTACAATAGGTTTTTTGTTGAGGAAAAAGAAGATTTAAAAAGAAAAAATATTGGGTTTGTAAATAACAGAACCATTACAGTTTTCACTCATGTTCACTCTGCTGATTTCTCATGTAAAGATGAGTTAACTCACCAAATGAGTATCTCAGCCTGTGTAAGCAGTTGTTATATCTTTTCATCATAATCATAAAATGCGATCAGCTGCCACCACGGTCCACAATGTGGCCGCAGCCGGGATCCTGGATCTAAAAGCTTTAAACATTGATACACTTCTCCATTTATGTTATTTTGTTCGTGTGTTCTGTTTACACATCACATCGATTATACTTCTGTCCGTCCTGGGACAGGGATCCCCGACTGAGACTCTCTCACGTTTCTGCATTTTCTTTCCATGTTAAAAGGCCATGGTCACATTCAGTGTCACTGAATGAAGCCTGATGAAGAGACAGGGGAGACACTCACTGTTGTAGTAGGAGAACTGCAGGTAGTTGTACTGAGAGGCGAGGAAGTCCTCAAAGGGCTTGTCCCTGCCGGCGGTAGAGGCCAGCTCCACAGAGCAGTGCTGCTTACAGTTCAGTACCTGCATGTAGTGGTCTGACACACACACACATTCACATTTACACAAAGACAAATTAGACGCCCAAGGATCAGCTTTCATACCAAATGTTTTCTGCGCAAAGATGCACTAAAGATGTAGAGTTTTTCACCAGTCATGGTCTGGAACAGGTCGGCGCTGTACTCCATGTAGTTGTATCCATCGTAGTTGTAGGCTCCTTCGCACAGAGCTCTGCACTCCCTGTCGGCTGTGAAGTACTCGTCCAGGCCCACTTCAAAGTTTTCAGCCGCCAGACCAAAAGAGTCGTGGCTGTAGTAACTCTTTCCCACCAGGAACTTGGCCTGAAGAGAAAACGTTACGAGAACTATGAGATTTAAACAGTTTTTATTTAACAGTCAGAATTTGTCAGGGTTCACATGTTAGTCAGACAAAGGTACAATATTCAGATCTAGTTCTCTTTATGTTATTCACTCTGACAGCAGTAATCACACAAAAGCTAATTGTCTGGGTTAGGTTTTGATTTTAAAAAACAATTCACCACATTTCTTTACAGCCATTATTCCCCAGGCTGAGATCTCCATCAAACTATCTCACAGCTTCCTGTAGTTGCAGCAACCACAGGTATGTGTGAACATTTTAAACAGATCACAACATGTCAACAGATTTCTGAGGTAAAATGAAAGGAAAAAAATGGAACAAACGTGTCCAACAAGGAGCCCACACTGTGCAGGAGGTCGAGAGGCATAAGAGGAGTTTGCTCTCACCATGTGTGGTTTGGCCTCCAGGTCTTTGAAGTCCTCCTGCTGTACTCCTGCCATCATCCTGTAGTACTCCAGGTTCTGTCTCATCTCCATGTGGTCCGGGTTGGCCAGGAAGAAGGTGTTGGCTGCTGCTACTGCCTTGTCCAGCTTGTTGATCTGAAAAAGCACAAATGTTCATTTCATCCGCTCTAATTGCAGCTTTGTGAAAACACCTGGAAAAGAAACCAACAGCATCTAATTATCTTTTACGCAGCAGGGCAGTGTCCACGTCTGTGTGCCTCTCAAACAGCCTGTTTGTTTTCAGTACGTTATTATAGAAACACTATGGCCATGATGCAATTTGTGACCACGATAGCTTTTCCTATCAGGCGATATTGATTATTATCCTTAGAGAAACCAGACCGATATTAGACAGATACTTTTAACACATCGGACAGAACGTTCAACACAATCACTCTTGTGCATAAGCATCCTATTGACACATTTTATTTTATATTATGTATTTATATTATTTTATCAGATTTATTATGCTATTAATATTCTATTATTTATGTATGAAATATTGTTGAACTGTTGTTACATTGCTATCTAAAAACATTATATCTCCACAAACACATTAGATTGTGCAGCAGCTTTTTTCATTAATTTTGCTGCTTTCAAGTTCTGTCTGAGAGTCTGTATTTCCCAGTGAATCCATGCAAACTTATTATGAAAGCTGCAGAGAGAAGTGAACCTTACAACAATGTCTGTCTCACAGTCAAAGTGATCCACTTTTCCTCATATTTTACAGCCACTCTATTGTGCCAACAAAGCAGTGCTGCAGTGAGTTTCCGCGGAGCACTTGAAAGCAGCACTTTAGGCCTTTAAACCTCTGGATCTCCACAGTCTACGTCCCCACGTCAGAAGAAGACTCCACCTTGAGACGTGGCATGGCAGTCTGGGTGCTAGGGGGGGTTGGGGTGTTTACAGACTCCAGCACCGACTCAAAAGTTTGAATGACATCTACAATGTGCTGAGTTTCTACTTCCCTGCATCTTTACTGTGCACATGCACCAAACAAATCATTTCCCTGCGCAGAGTGAGACACGATCCAACTTTCCTCGTGCAGCTCTCGGTGCATTTCGCTCTAACCTTGAAATAAGCGACTTGTAGGTAATTGTACGGAGTCCTCTTCTTGAACTCCAGCTCCACTTCTTCCCCGACGAGGTGAAAAGTGGGTGAGCCGAGCTTCTCTGACTCGCAGGAGTTCACACAGTCCGCCCGCTTCAGGATCTTCTGGAAGAAGCCCAGGTCCTCCACAGACCCGGCCCCGGGCACGGGCACTCCGAGGCCGGCCACAGGCTCGCCGAACGCGGTTTGGTTGGCGCAGCTGAGCCGACACGAAGCCTTCACGTTGCGGACCGTAGCCTTGTTCTTGATCGCCTTCTCCATGTTCAGGATGACCGTCAGCCAGTCCCCGTTATTGTAGGCGTCCACGGCCGTGTCGAAGAGGATATCATACGGCTCCAGAACCGAGGGGCTGCTGCGGTGGTTGTCCGGCGTGCACAGAGGCAGAATAAAGCTCAGACACATGAAGGAGTAGTGGAGCTCCATGATGCTGGAGAGTCTGAGCTCTGCAGCGGACAGACAGGACCCACAGCCCGGTGCAGAGAGGGGGACAGACTCACTTCTTCCTCCCTGCTGTAAGTGGTCTGGAGGTGGGGTTTGATCCCGAGGAACACCCCTTCAGCCCCCCCACACACAGTGTAACACTGCCTTATGAAACAGTAAGGAGTTTATATTGTGCACATCTAGTGTGACAATTGACTGTGAAATCTTATGAGACATTTTAAAGTGAGAGTTATGACAAACGTTTGCACCATTGCACCAAAACAGAAACATGTCCTTGTCTATACACCAGATATCTATGTATATATATTTGTACTTATTTTTACCTATTTAGCTTTTTTACATGTACATAGCTTTTGTTTTTGTCTTTGTTCCTGTTTATGTCTATGTTTGTTAGTTTTTTAAGAGTCTGTACTAAGAGAGCTAAGTAAAACCGGAGTTTAAAATCCTTGTGTGTTCACATACCTGGACATAAAAGTGATTCTGATTCTGATTCTAATTCTGATGACAAACACTAACCCTGATTTCACAGGATTTATTTAAGACTAACTGCTTCCCACTCTTTCTTTTCTTTCCTTTTCTCATATTGAAATCATTTATACATCTTTGATACTGCTTTATTTTTTGTAACATCTAATTATCTACGTGTCTGTTTATACTGTCACTTAAGCTGGGAATTATCTGTGTCGAGCACATGAAGTGTTTGTATCTGTACAAGTTGGTTGAACTAGTTTGTTGAAGACAGTCCAACTGTGGCTCACGGTGTGCGAGGACTAAGTTAGGACTGATCTCAGTAGCCTACAATAAATTAATGACATTTTAAATTTAAATTTAATTTAAAATTAAAAATCTATTACATATCAACTTAAATCACAGGGAAATCCTCACGGCCATTATTATCACCTTTATCATTGCTTCCTCCAAACTAAGCTGTTGTTTTTACTGTCTGTCAACTGGATTCCCCATAGACTGTACATAGGGACTCCCAGATACAGCTGTGGGTGAAATATTAATTCACCTACAGCTAATTAATAATATTAATTGTAACATGGATATTTCATCATTTAAGTTGAAAGAGCAAATTATGATGCCAGCTTTGAACAGTTTTCCTCTGAACTGATGTACTCAGTTTGTTCACCACACATATCAAACTCAGAGCTGCTCAAACTACATTGCATGGATTTAACATGGGAGACACGGACCTGTTAGAACCTGCCCACTGAAACTTTCATGGCTTTCCCTTGCAAATAGACATAGGCCTAAGTGCAAAGTAATGCAGGCACAATCTGTTCTTGCTTTTCAATGCTCAAGGTCTACAAACACAACAGGGGAAATATGAGAGCACATTTTGCTCATGCTTGTATTATTATTTCAACTCAGTTTCACAACATACCAACATAGCTTGATCAAGAGATATATCTTGTAATACAAAATGTATCTTATAATAATAAGAAAATAAAACAATATGTGTATATATAGCAATCTTTTCTCAGTCTGTGAAAGTCAAATAATTTCAACCCATTGGTCTGCAACTTCAAAGTCAGAGCCCCCTTTTGACTTTACCCACATTCTAATTCTAATAATGTAAAAACAAACAAACAAAGATGTAGATAAGAAACAATACATAGGTAGTCACAGTTTAACTTCTCTTATGTCCACAATTTAACTAATCTTTGTCTAATTGAAGCAACTTATCTAATAATAAATGATCCTTGTCCTCGAGAGGACCCGCTCCTGATGTAAATATAAAGTATTTACATATAAAGAAAACAACAATTTGTAGAGTAGATGATTACACATGATTGGTTTATATTAAACTTCTGCCCTTTCCCCTAAATCTGACCCACTGGACCTTTAATATTAGCATGTTGTATACTGTCAGGAGAGTTTCTTCGCAGTGACAACAAAAACTACCTTTTTTTCATATTCTTAATGAAACTAAGCAGATTTACTGTTTCATTAGTGGAGACATTTAAGGACACAGCTTTATATTAAACCTGATGGTTTTTTTGGCCCACTGTTAACGATAGCAGAGATACTTAGGTGATGGGAGAAACACTTTCTACTACTCTTTCAAACTAAATGTATGTAATTCATATTGTATAATGATCTAAACGTGTTGTAAATACGCCCGCAATGGATCATGGGTAAATGCTCGCTGGAGCAATGTAACAGAAAGTTAGAGGATGACGTAGATCTGGCTTCATTTATAGTATTTAATAAGTCAGCGGTTTTAATGAGTCATGAGAAGCTGCTCGTTGATGGAAACTTCACAACATTGTCTCATGTGACTCTATCCTGAATCCTGTCTGTTTCTTAAAAACGTGTGCTTTCAACGGTGACACATCTCGTCTGTTTAAATGTTCTGAGGCAGGACGGGGCTGTTTGTGGCGTGCCTGAATTAAATCCGAATTGTCATGATGATAGAATTCAACATCAAAACGTTGTTATTTTATATACCTCACTATTTAAAAAACAAAACATTGCAAACATAAAGTGTTTGCTGAAAAAAAATATGAAAAACGGACTTTAATTGTAAAGTATTTTACACAGGCACTATCACGACTGCTATTGTGGCTAAACGTGGGACATGTAGGACCCCGTGGGCTCCTCCGGTATGGTCAAACATTGGCTGGTTACAAAAGCAGCTGGTGTGGACGGAGAGAGCAACATCTGAGGAAGCTGTGCAGAAGAAGAGACCATGGACAGGACGGTCAGCCTCAGCAGACCCGACCACACCTCCACAGGTATCGAACTGTAGCTTTAGAGAACCAGCTGCACACTCACGTCCTGTTGTTGTTGAAGACGTAGGAAACAGAATCACCTGAATCACTGCTGCATTTGACATGAAATCAATGGACGGAGTTCCTCTCACTGTAGTGAAGAGCTCGATGTTTGCAGCAGAGTAACAACAGATGTATTACTGTGTCATAGATGAAACATGGAGACAGTAGCTGTAGTTATAGAACACAAGGTAACAGTGTTAGATTAGAACGTCTCACACATGAAGTATATTACATCAGATATGTTGGCATTAGCTGTCAGCACGTTACCTCTGGTGAATCAGTTACATGAACGTGTGATGTAACTGTGTTTTTCTGCAGCCACTCTGGTTGAGAGCAGCAGCGCCCCCGGCGGCCTGGAACTGGTCAGCTCCTACCAGACCAACAGAGTGGGGGACCCCATGGACCTGGTGGCCCTGGCAGCCCAAGTACAAAAGGTGAGGACTGAGGTTTGTAGGTTGAGCTTACATTTACACGACGAATCTGTGGTTATCTATTGTGAACATACTTAACTGTGTTTGTTAGGGAGACGATTTCATCAAAGCCAACGCTTCCAACAAACTGACAGTCATCGCTGACCAGATCAGGTACCTACAGGAGCAGGCGAGAAAGGTGAGTGTCTACAGCAGGGGTCACCAACCTTTTAGAAACTGAGAGCTACTTCATGGGTACTGAGTCATACGAAGGGCTACCAGTTTGATACACTCTTCTGAAATAACACATTTGCTCAGTTCGCCTTTAGTTATATATTGTTATTAATGATAACTGATAATCATCTATGTGAAGACACTGATCACGTTAATGATTTCTCACAATAATTATCAATAATGACTCAACAAGGTGGGAAACAGATAATATCAATATTCAACACTTATTTCTATTAAACTCAGCAATTGTTTACATTTTCAGATAATCACTTCTACATTTCATGAGAAAAATGTCCCATTTTCGCCAGCCACTGACCAACCCTCTTAACAAATCATAGTCAATAGTCAACTTCAACATGACAATAAAAATTTGACAGTATACAAAATAAATAATTAAATGTTATGAGAAACACATATCACATTTTAGACGCAGCTCACTGGTGAGTGGTGTTATTTTTAGAACAGGCCTGCGGGCTACTCATGTGGTCCTTGGGGCTACCTGTGTGGTGACCCCTGATATAGAGCAACAGTGAACAAATCCTGCAGTCATGTCTTGTTTCTGAAATTCTACGTAAGATATCTTATAGATGATTGTGTCAGAATGCCCAAACTAGTTCAATTTAAAAGATATCATATAGATATATATATCATATCATATATATTTGTAGATCTGTTAAAGAACACCAGATCCCAAGGTATGAGCACTACAAAAGCTCATGTGATCATAATGAGGGAATGTTACTCAGATCTATGTAAATACAGCATATTTGAAAAAAGCGACAGTAATAGAATGAGTTATTGTTAGTGTGACAGATATTATAAGAGCAGACACGTTTTTCTTCTTTCTTCTAGGTTTTGGAAGAGGCTAAAAGAGATGCTGACCTCCACCACGCTGCCTGTAACATAGTGAAGAAGCCAGGCACCATGTACTACCTCTATCAGCGGCCATCTGGGCAGAAGTACTTCTCCATTATCTCCCCTAAGGTCTGCATTGTAATGACACATACTAATACCAGGTTGTTAATCTGTCTTAAAGGTCCAGTGTGTAAGATTTAGGTGAAAGGGATCTATTGGCAGGAATTGAACACAAATAGTCCTAGTGATGTTTTCACAAGTGTTTCATCTTAATTGTCCAATTTGTCGTTTTCTTTACTCCAGAATGGATCCTTTACATTTAAATACGTAATATGTACATCAGGACTCCTCTCTACTGAGGCTGCCATGTTTTTTTACAATAGTCCAAACTGAAAAAACTAAACACGTTTTGAGTTTTAATGACAACTGAAGGTTTCCACAGGTTCTTTAAGGTTTGGAAGAGGAGGGTGAGGTGAGGGGTGTCCTGCTGCAAGATGACACTTCACCAGTGCATTCTACACACTGACCCTTTAAATGTTACGTCACCCTGTGTGGACAGGAGTTACAAAATGTCAGCACAGAACCTGTCACTTAATACATATGAATGGCTTGCCTCACATGGTTGGGGGTTTGGTGTCCAAAGTTCATTAAACCCAGGAGGCAGCTGATAGTGAGCAGGCGTCCAAAACACAGGCTGCTTGGGTTGGATTCGGCCAGTTACAGCACAGCTACACTCGTCATTGAATGGTGACGGTCGTAACTAATGTGGGGAGGAAGAGATTATGTTATGGTGATAAATAACTGTAGTAGAGGAACATAACAGAGACATGTTTTTACTGCTGCTGCTGTGGAAGAAGTTTTTAGATTAGTGTTTTTATAGATAAATAGAATCTATGTCCTCAACATGACAGTGCAGGTCAGAAAGAGAATACACATACTCTGGTTTAGAATATGTGGAAGCACTTATGTATGTTAACAGGTAATGACATGATTTATTGAAGGAATGGTGTCAAATCTCGTCCTAATATCACCTCTTTTGTCTGCTCCTCTGAAGGAATGGGGCCCAAGTTGCCCTCACCCATTTGTCGGTGCGTTCAAACTCCAACATGACATGTCCTGGACCCCTGTAGACGAGGTGGAGAAGAGGGATGCAGAGATTGCCATCATGAACAAGCTCATCAGCCAGCAGACCGCTTTACCACCTTGCACAGAACCCAACTTCAAAGGCCTCTCTGAGTAAAGCACTGCTGAAGCTGGACTGAAAAGAGGACTGGACTTATCAAGGACACATGCTGGAGACTAATTCTACTTTTAATGAACATCAGTTTGAACTGAGACGAATCCAGGTGTGGATTGGAATCACTGATATCAATCACTGATATCAATCACTGATATCAAAATGTCAGAGTGTCTCAGTGGCTTTCATGTACTGCCTTAAGTGAACACAGTCATGCATTACAACACGTTTTAGTCTGTATAGTCACAACCTCAGTATCATACAGGGCTGCCGCTTTTGTAAGCTAGTTATCGTCATTATCCTGTGCAACTCAAAGTGAATGATTTATTTTGTAGATGCTGCCAATAAGGTTGGGACTTCATTTGGTGAATAAAATCATCTGTTTAATCTCAGGTCAACAAAACAAAAGTGCAATAACTTTATTTGAAATCATCCGTCTTCTGTTAGTACAATTTAATTTATTAAAGTGCAGACAAACACTAAATGATCTTTGTTAAAAGCCAGCTCATTAGGTTTTTTTTTTTTTAAAGACGTGCCACAGTCAGCTCTGACTGTCGTCCTGTGAGGAAGTGATTGTCAGTAAATAAGAAGTTATGTGTGGCAAAAGCTGCCAGTTATCTGTGGCGATGTCGAAGTGCACGGCGTCTTCCTCTGTGGAGATTTTCAGCAGCACATGAGACTTGGGGGGGAGGAAGAAAAGCACTTTAAACTCTTCTTTATGGGACCAGTCTGAAATAAGGTAGGGGAGGAAGTGTTTCTCCACCAAGGACCTCAGCGCTGCCTCCTTTAGCTGGCAGCAGAAGAGACTGGTAGCACAGTCCCCGCCCTCCGAGCACAACTCGTCCCATAATCCCTCAAAGAGCTGAAGTTTGCCGCCACGACCCCAGGCTGAGGGAGCAGGCAGGGGCCTGAAGACCTGCTGGAACGCCACGTGGATGTCCGGCAGGATGGTGTGCCACGAGAGCCCGTCCTGTGTGGTAAAGATGGCGCTGGCTTGAAGGGTGGTGGGGTAGGGACGCAGAGGCTTCAGCCGCAGCTTCACCACCGGTGACGACCTCTCCGTGAAGAGGCAGGGGACACTGATGTCGCTCAGCTCTTCATAGTGGTCATCTGTGCGGTTGACGTGCAGGCGGATGCTGAAGAGCTGATCAAAGCGGGGGTCGTAAGGCTGAATGTGAGCCAGTTGGTAGCTCAAGGTAATTTCTGAGGCAAAGTCAGGGTCATTGAACTGAAGTCTGTAGGTTTCCAATGCTGCCTTCACCTCATCTGGGCATCTGTCAGTCTCACTCTGGCTTAAGTCACCTTCTTTATCTGCTTGTGTGTCTTGTTGTGGCTCAGAATTCACCTCAACCACGCGGAATATTGCTTTGTCCGTCTGGTGAATGGTTAGCGCGCTTCTCAGCCCCTCGCTATCAGCCACGATGCTCGACAGCGATCGCTTCTTGACCTGCCGTCCTCCCTCGGTCGCACCCTGCGCTAACACCCCGGTCAGCTTCTCCCGGGACAGCGTGGTGAGGAGGGTATAGTAGAGACGGGCATGGTCCTGGATGTCTGTGTCGCTGTAGCGGCAGGTGAGATCCTGCAGGATGTCGGCCAGGGGGAGAAGCAGCGAGTCCAGGCTGGGATGGACGAGCAGGCGGCGGCAAACTCCCAGCAGGCTGGTCCCCAGACGCCAGTCGCCGCTTACACACAGCGAGGAGGTCGATGGAGCGATGATGCTGGACAGAAAGCTCAGGGTGCTGCGCTGGGGGATTTTTCCTTCTTCCGCCACTCGTGCCAGCATCTTGAGGTGAGAGCGGAGGTCCTGTAAGTTGAGCTGGGCGAGCGGGGCCTCAGTGATGACTCCCTGCAGTGCTTTCAAGAGCTCCTCCGCCCAGTTCGACTCAGACAGCCTGTCCTGTGTGTGGTCGGCCAGGCTGATGAGGTGCGGGGCCAGCTGGGTGTGGTGGAGGTAGAGCTCACACAGCTTTTCCACCAGGCTGCTCGAGTAGCGCTCCATGTGGGAGAAGTGCAAAAGGAAGAGGAAGGCGGCCCTGAAGAAAGTGACGATAATCTCTCTGCTGCCTCCGCTCTCCACGATGTGTAGCAGCGACATGAGGTGTTCGTAGAGGTTGGCCACCCCCCTGTCCTCTCCCCCATCCCCTTCCTCTCCCTCCTCCAGGTAGACCAGGGACAGCAGGTTGAGTCGGGCCAGCATGGTGGCGCTGTCGTTGAACACAGTGGGCATTAGAGCCAAGGCCAGCCGGGGAGTCAGCAGCACAGGGAGCGTCTCGTCTCCGTCGCTGCAGCTGATCGGGCGGTTCTCAGGGAAGTGCAGGATGCAGTCCATGTAGAAGAGCTTCTCGGGCATACTCAGCAGTGGGTGCTGGGAGAGCACGACCAGTCGCTTGAGGATGAACACTTCGTCCTCGGCGCTGAACAGGCTGTCTGTGAATGCACACTTCATCAGCAGAGTGGTGTGGAGGAGACAAACCTGGAAGGACAAAGATTTACTTTGAGTCTCCACAACAAAGTTCTCACAACAAAGGAGCTTTAAAATAACAACTCCACAGTTTAGGAAATACACAGTTCAGAACTGGTCTGTACTTAGATTTCCAAAACATTTAATCACACATTTTGAATGGTTTTTAATTTTGATACAGCTGCTTTCAGACATACACTGAACTCCAGAGGGGCTGGATGTATACTTTCTCCAGAGTTCCTCCAGCCAGCCCCGAGTAAAAACTGAGCAAGATAACCTCTGGAGGATTTACTGAGGGTGGGCGTGTTGATGATGCTTCTAACACACAGCAGACACAAGACAGATACACCAGGGGCCTGTACTACGATGCAAGTTCAACATACCCAGGATATCTTTGGGATATCCGGGTTTTACCAACTTCTTAAATCAACCCAGGCTTTCCTTCTCTAGATCTGAGTGCGTGCACAGGAAAGGGGCGGAGTTTGCAGCATATGACCAATCATCAACATGGACAACTGTACTGACAGCAGAGCTGCATCTTCTGCAAGTTCAAACTAGCATTTTAAAAAAATACAAGGAGAACAAACACATTATCCAGACTAAAAGAAACACAGTCACAGCTGCTAAATACAGGAAGAACAGCTGGTAAAAAATCTCTGACTCCGTGAATGTTGAATTTACGGAGCCCCCCCCGTGACGTTTCCGAAAAAATATATTCGTGAACACAATATAATAACGTGTGGGAACGAGATAAATAACTCCGGGCCACGAGATATGATTCTGTTCTTTGCTAACAAGACCTGTCGAACTGAACGGAAGAAGCCTCTTGGATGAGAGATGATGTCGCCTCTATGATGAGCTTTAGTTTGACACACACTGTCTGCACTGACTCTGAGGAAACACTGTGGTGGATACGTTTGCAACAACTAGCAGCAGAGATGGACTTAACCAACCAGCTGTCAAGGTAAATCTGTAAACTATCTATCCCCAATTTCAAATACATTTTTAATTTTATAGGCTACACCTACTTAAAGGGAAGGAAAAAATGATTAAAAATCTTCTTCGGACTGAAAACCCTGAAGTTAGCTTGAAGTTACCCTGATAACTGCAAATCCTGCTTTGTAGTTCAGGCCTCCGGATGAAAAAGCAGAGCCACACACATAAAAGACACAGACAAAGATATCAAGAGGGCTGACGTCAGTGTTGATGTGCTGAAAACAAAAATCTGATCTCCCCAGGGGAATAAATACGTTACTTCCTGCCTCTGCATGATGCGCCACCCCTCATCTGAACGCTCCAGAGATTTCTGTTGCTGTGATCACCCTGAACGGAAAATCTTCTGCGTTGTTCATGTGTGAAAGGGAAACTCCAGAGAAAGTCCAGACACAATTGTGCTGACATCCTCTGGAGTTATTGCCAAAAAGTGGCTTCATTTACTTAAAGGTACAGTCTGTAGACTTAAGTGATATTTAGTGTTGAAATTGCATGTTGCAGCTGAACACCTCTCACCTCACCCTCTCCTTCCAAATATGAAGAAGAACCTTCAGTTTTCATAAAAACTCAAAAGGTGTTTAGTTTGTCCAGTCTGGACTAATGTAAAAAACATGGCGGCCTCCGTAGAGAGGGTCCACTCGATGTAAATAAAAAGTATTTGAATATAAAGGACCTTTTCTGGGGTAAAGAAAACTACAATTCATACAATTTAGATGAAACAAACTAGTGAAAACATCATGAGGATTATTCTA